TCTCCTTTTGTAGCTTCGGACCTTTGACGAACATTAGTCCTAGCAACTGGAGTGACTTTAATGTTTTCTATTAGTCTATTTACATTAAGGGACTGCAACTTTTCTTTTTGATGCGGGTTCTTGCAATCTTCAATGAACAATTTCAGTCGGTGGAGAGTTTTGCATGCACCCTTCTCGTGACCTAATCTCCCACAGAACAAGCAGAACCGTGGTAGCCTTTCATACTTAACCTTAATCACAATTGTCTTCCTTGAGAGTAGAAAGTATGGGACTGAATCAACTAATGGTTCATTGATATTCAGAGCAACCTTAATTCGAGCAAACTTGCTCCATAGCGCCAGCTCTTTTGGTGAAGGTTCAAACGGTTTACCAATAGAAGTTGCCACTTTTTTCACTGCATTGACTGATAGATATCCTACAGGGAATCCACTTAGGTGAATCCAAAAATCTGCCGTTGGTAGCTCATAGTCTTCAGGGCTTAGATCTGGTTCTCCTCTACATAGTAGAATGATATCGTTTTCAAAAAGCCATGGACCTTTATCGAAGACCAAGTCCCTATCAAAGTTGTTAGGGAACTAATAATGTAAGTGTCTTTCGCAAAATCCAAGACAGTTCAAACAGGTATCTTCCAAGCCTTGCTCACCATCTCCTTTAGACCCCCTGGTTTGATGATTCTATTCGTTAAGACTTTGAATATAAGGCTTCTTCTCCATTCTTCACCAGGGAGGGCATCCTCTGAAGAGGCTTCGACTCCCCTTGTAGCACAAGGGATAAGCATTCTAGAGAAAGTAGTATAAAGGTCTTCTTCTTCCATGGTATCATATGTAGAGTGGCTTTGAAAGGGGGAGGGGGAGGAGATGGTGGTGGGAGGAGAGATGTGGAAGGGGAAGAGAGGGAGGGAAGCCTGCACTATGACAAGAGGGATGCTTGCTCTTGAGAGCAAGAGGTATTGATATTTCATTGCTCAATGGACCAGTTGAGTTAGACCTTCTAAATCAAAATTAATTTGAATGGATTGGATGGGCCAATAAGATATATTGAATTGAACCAGTCTAGACTTAATGGTCTAAAGTATTTAATAGATTAGAGTGAACCTGATCTATTCATAATGGATTTATATTGGATTGGGTGAAATTGAATCAATATCAGGTCCATTGATAGAATATAAGAACATAGGTGTCAATGGACTAGGTTTTGGATTGGAATAAATCTAAATTAAAAACAATTTGAACAGATTGAGACGGTCCAGACATTGAATGTATTGGTTCAAAATATTCATTGGATTGTACAGGACCTGGTCCATTTATAATGGACTCATATTGAACCGGATTGGATTGAACCAGATCCAGTCCAATTGACATCCCTATAGGCAAGGGCCAAGGGAAATCCTGGGTCTAAGTTTGAGGCCCCATTGGTTGCCACTTGTCCATTAACACAAGATTATCCCACAATTTAACATCTTAAGCTTTTGGGTTACAGATGATGTCAAATTCACCCTAATCTGAAGATTACCTTCTTAGGTAACTTCACTTGCCACAAATTATTCTTTTAATTTTAACCTAATATCTTGTCAGGTAGGATAAGAAAATGCCCTTCCTTTTTTATCGAGTCCAATTAATAAGGCTGCATTTGTTTCTGGCATAAATGCACATTTACACTAATGGAGTTGAGACATGATGGTTTGGTGAGAGTGTAAAATACGGACCGGCTAGTGCCCATTTATACTCATCCTGTTTGGTTAGAGGTTACCCTATATTTTCTGGGGAGATTTATTAGAGAGGGAGATGAAACCCAACAACTATTGGAGATCTCCTTCTCCTCCATCGCTGTTCTCCAACAGCTTAAATTCATTTATTACCTAGCTGTTGGAGATCTCCTTCTCCTCCATCGGTTACAGGGAGACGAAACCCATTAACTATTGGAGATCTCCTTCTCCTCCATCGATGTTCTCCAACGGCTTAAATTAATTTGTTACCTAGCCACTGGAGATCTTCTCCTCCATCGGTTACCTTGTAGCCGCATCTATAGAAACCCACCGATGGAGGTAGCTGTTTTCTGGTTCCTATCGTTCTCCTTCTCTTCCTCATTTCGATTGAAGATCTTTCCGTTAAACCTCATGCCCATTAGCAGTGGCGAATCCATAGATTCCGCTTGCTTTTGTGTTGTCTTAGAGTTGATGTTTTCTACTCCAGATTTGGTAGAATAAAGTAGAAGATCGCTAGACTTATAGCGGGAATTTGGAGTTAGGCGGAAGGAGAGGAGTGTCAGTTAGCAATGGCAAGAGAGAGAGAGAGGGAGCGATGTAATAAAGGACTTAAACCTCCCCTGTTATAATAAGATTTTTAATTTGATGAAAACAATAAAAAGAATCTTTTATCCTAAATTATTCTTTAAATTTAAGAAAGGGTAAATTACAGGTAGGTACCCTATACTTTGGTACCCTAAATTTAAGAAAGTGTAAAAAGAATCTTTTATCCTTCAACCACTGACATAGAAACCCTCTGGATTGCCCACAAGCACTTAGGTTAAGAAATCAGTCCAAGCAACCTCTAAAATAGTGTTATGCAGCCATTCTATCAAGAAGCCAGATGCAACCATGTCTGGCCAAGGCTCAACCCAAATGAGCAATGTCGCAATACCAAAATAAAAAGTGTGGTGGTGTTGCTGCTGGGAGAGGCAGCCATTTGTGGATTGGAGATGTTAGTGGTTGGTAGCGGTGGTAATTAGGCGGGTTGAATTGGGTTTGGTTTGGGTTGAGTTTCAATCCAATCCATCTAACCCGTCAATCCATTAATGACCTAGTTATATAAAATTAAATGGATTGTATTCAACCTAAACCGGCTTTAATCCAATCCAACCCGCCCAAACCCATTAATCTTATATTTATGGACTTAAAAAAAAAATTAACTCTCTCTTAACAAATAACTTGGTCATAGCTTGGTGGTAATAGTAGTTACTATTTACATAAGTGGTGAAGGTTCAAATCACATTACATGCATGTTATTTTTACACAAGTGGTGGAGCCATTTGACTATGTTCGGATTTTGGGTTTGACCGAACCACTTGGTTCAAACCGGTCAGACTAATTTGAACTATCTAATTAGATTATCTTCAAGTTAATCACATCAAGGGTGGTTGAACCGTTTAGATTTGGATCAGTCCGGTCAGACTGGACTGGACCAGTTTAGTCAGTGGTGGATTGACTTTGATCAGCCATATCAAGTTTGTGCATGGGTTTGGGACTGGACCGACTGACCCAAAGCGGGTCCGCATAAGTAAATCGGGTTGGTCCGGATTCAGGTTGGGTGTGTGGATATTGCTCCTCTCAAACAGTCTAGACCGAGAAAAAGCACACAAACACCGAACCATCCCATCTGGAACCGTTTCGGATTCAGGTCAACCCATATCGGCTTGTACCGGGGTCGGGTTAGGCTGTGTGCATACTGGTTGGACCGGATGACCCAAACTAGGCAAAGTAAGCAATACCGAACCATCCTGCCTGAGATCTATTTTGGATTCGGGTCGACCCGGATCGGTATATGCTGGATCGGGTCAGCCCGTGTTGAACTGGTTCGGACTCAGGTCAAATTCATTTGGATTTATGTTGGGTGAAGTGTATTGATTCAAGACAAAACTAAATTTAGTCAATAATTAATAGAAAATTAATTGATTAATTATAAATTATTTAATTCAAATGAAGAAAAAAAAACTAAAGAATTAATACTTGTGTCTGTAATGATTAACCCAATAATTATCCACAACCTAACCCAACTCAATCCATTTGAATGGACAGATTGGGTGATGGATTGATCACACAACCCGACAAGTAATTGAGCGGGTTGGATGGATTAGATTCTGTGTGGATTGGGTGGGTTCAGCGGGTTGGGTGAAAAAGTGCCACCCCTAGTGGTTGGGTGGTAGAGGGAGTGCAGACCTCTATCATGTTTTTGGGTATGCGATACAATGACGCACAGACAACGGAGCAATGGGCAATAATGGAAAGAATTGGGTTTTTAAGGAAAAAATAACTCCCACATGATGCCAAATGCTAACAGATATGGAATGTTAACATAGGGGATGCTTTTCCCTTGTGAGGTCACAAGGCTTGAGAGGTCTTAGTCCAACTTGAAAAAGAAGGGGATGTTTTAGTATATAGGATAAAAATGAAGGGGGGGTTTAAGTCTTTTACCCTAAAGAAAATGAGAAGGAGATGTACGTATGTGATTGGTAGAGGAGTCTCCTTTTGAATTGTGATTCATGGAGCAGCTTTTCAGCCCTGCTAAGAGGCTAAGCTAATAGGATGGTCGTTTGGAGAACAGATCCAATCCAAGTGATGACTCGCTTAGAGAACATTATTCCAAATTGTACATATTGAAGTAACAAAATATCAATCCTTACTTCTAATTAATTGTGTGGAATTTTAGCATTTTACTCAAGCCAAACGAAATGAAAATTTCCTACGCTTTTGGTATTCTGCTTAGACATTATTATTTATCACAGGGATCCATTTTGGTGCAAGCTAATATTCTGTTGGTAATTCACCAAAGCTTAAATTATTTATCCTTTTCTTTCAAGAATCCGTTCAAAGGTATTTATGAAGAAAATGGTTTCCATTTCTAAAAATCCTTTTAAAAATAATCAATGATTTGTATTGGGAAGGGATAAATGCCGATGCCTACCTGGGTGTAGTGTTAGTGTTAGTAGAGTAGAAAGAATTCACTGCTGCTGGATTGGATCTTAAGCCCATTCCTACTAGTTTTATCTAGTAAAGCCGCACCCAGAGCTTTTGTCACCAGTACAATAACATCGTTCTGAAAATGATGGATGATCAATAGACGAAAGATATGACTAGAGCAAAAATTAACAGGTTAGAGAATGATGGTAAGTAAATCAGATCCTGAAGAATCAAATGAAACTGTACGCATAGATTTTGATGGTTCAGTGAATGAGCTACCTCAACATTGGATGTTTATGGGTTAATTTTAACCACAGATAACGTCTAAATTTGAGCACAATATTATTTAGTGAAGCAACAGAGATCAGGCAATCAATGGTTGCACATTCAGGAATAGTTAAGTAGACTAAGTAGTCTTACAATTGAAATGTACATGGACCAGTATTTGAGCAGCGAGCAGACGAGCAAACCCTGCTTCTAATGCCACGAATAAATAAATTGAGCCTTGTGGTCAGTTTCTTTCAGTTAGCACGTTCTTGAAGGAGGTTGGACAAGGGTTATGTTACACGTGACTGCACAATGAACTGCTTCAGATGGTTCGAGGTATTCGCCATGTCACCCACTTCCAATGTGATTTCTAGATGCAGATGCTACTGTGGAGAAACTCCTATTTCTAGGGGGCCAACAAAACAGAATGATGAATTAACCTCTATACTTCAATAGTGCCCCAAGCTGACAAGAATACCTTGTTTAATATGCCAAAATACCAACTCTTACATTGAATCTTATTGCAGTTTCACCGCTGAGACATAGATTTAGCAGAGCTTCTCCCATAAAGATTGGTGTTCATACAACCAAATCTAAGGAGATACTATCAGCAGAAACAAAAGGAGCATTTTAGGACCAGGACATGCCACCTTGGTCCCAGTTTTACATGACTGAAACCTGAACTTTCTCAATTTAATCTGTACTACAGATTCTTGTTTCCTGTATAGTCAAGATGATTCTGTCCAACTGCATCCAGGTATCTTGGTCAATCTCTTCTCCTCCATCACCTTTCTCAATCTCTTGGCATCATCCCACCTCCCAACAGAAGCATATATATTTGCTAGAAGAGAGTAGTATCCACTTGTATCAGGCTCCAGCTCGAAGCAATGTTGAGCTGCAATCTCCCCAAGTTCAATATTGCAATGTAACCCGCAAGCTAGAAGCAATGCTCCCCACACCCCTGCATGTGGTTGCATAGGCATACTACTTATTATCTCAAGTGCCTCTTGCAATCGTCCTGCCCGTCCAAGAAGATCAACCATAATTCCATAGTGATCAGATGATGGTAAAATTCCATGCTCACTTGTCATGGAGTTGAAACACTGATAGCCTTCCTCTACTAAGCCAGCATGGTTGTAAGCAGTTAGAAGTCCAGTGAATGTGACTGCATTTGGATGGATATTATCAGCCAACATCTCTTTAAACAACCTAATTGCTTCAGGGGCTCTCCCATTAATGCCACAGCCTAAAATCATCGCACTATAAGCAACCAAATCCTTCTTCCTCAAGCTACAAAACAGTTCATATGCCTTGTCAATGCTACCACACTTTGCATACAAGTCAATAAGAGCTGTAAGAAGATGATCGTCTGGTTTAATCCCAAGTCTTCTCATATATGATTCAATCCACAACCCAAACCTCAAGTCCCCCAACTGAGAACAAGCGGATATAATGCTAGCCAATGTCATCTCATCAGGCTGTACACCTACATTGGATTTCCGCATCTTATTAAATAAATGAAGGGCCTCTTTTGGTTGGCTGTTTTGAGCATAGCAAGAGATCATGGCATTCCATGAGGGCAGATCCTTGTCACCCATCTGATCAAAGAGATAACGAGCAGAATCAACGTCTCCACATTTTGAGTAGCCAGCAATCATGGTAATCCATGAAACATTGCTTCTTTGGGGCATGTCATTGAAAAATCTCCGTGCAGCTTCGATGTTCCCGCAATCCACATAGCCACCAATCATTGCATTCCAAGAAGCAGAGTTTCTCTCTGGCATCTGCTGAAACAAAGAAGTTGCGTTCTCCATATCCCCTGCTTTTGCGTACCCTGAAACCATTGAGTTCCAAGAAACAACATCTTTCATTGGAATCTCATCGAAAATCCTCCGAGCCATAGTTAATTCCCCAGCTTTCAAATATCCAGATAGAATAGAGTTCCACGATACCACGTTTCTTTCCGCCATATTATCAAACAGTAACTGTGCCATCCTCGTATCACCCAACTTGGAATAGAGATCAACAAGGGCAGTTTGTACGTAAACATCATTGCTGTATCCATATTTGTGAACCTGCGCATGAATTGCAGTCCCTCCCATAGTATGCGCAATCCGAGCACATGCCTTGAGAGCCGATGAAACAGCAAAGGTGCTCGGACATGGCACCAGTCTGTGCATTCGGACATAGAGAGCAATGGCGTCTTTGAACCGGCCATGCTGGGAGAAGTAGCGAATGGTAAAGGCCCACGAGAAGACATCTGGGTTAGGCAAATGAAATAGGATTAATTGGACGTACTCAGTGAAGTCGCAGGCTGAGAGGAGAATTTGATGAAGCAGGAGTGGGTGGAGTTGGTAAAGACCGTTAGTGAGGATTTGAGCGTGGATTTGCTTTGCATGATTAGCGTTTTCGCATTTCTTTAACAAGGACGTCAGTTTGGAAGTTAGCATCAGGGGTCGCTGGTGAAGACTGAAGAGTATCCCTATCCCTGTCGTTTGGTAGTTGAATCCGTTGGGCCTCCCGCCTCCTTGGATGTATCTTCAGATTTTCGTGTGGAGCATATGATACTCTCTATTTTCTGTAATTGTGCTTCATAAATGGGTGCCTTGCATTATAGATGAATGCCATATTTCGTACAAAACTTTTAACTCTGTACTCGGCTGCGTTTGTTTTCGGTGTAAATGCGGTGCGGGTCGACGTAATACTTAATGGTTTGCGGGTATTTGTTAAAGAACAACAGATGTTCTCCATCCATGTGTGAGTGCAATGTTTGCACATATTTTACGATAAGCAGATCCAGATTCATAAAATTTACATACATATACCGTAGATCATGGTTTTTAAAAACGAACAGGTGAGAGATCCGGTTACTGGTTTGAACGGTTTGATCATTCGACCTGAATGGCTAGCTCATTCTGACAAAAAATAAATAAATAAATAAATAATTGAAAAACGGTTAAAACCGTTCGAATGATTAACCCGTTGATTCAGCAGTTTGTTGACCAAAATTATCGGTTTTGGATGAAAAAGCAGTCTTGAAAGAAAGCAGAACCAATCAGTTGATCAGTTCCCAATTTTTTTGGTCCGGTTTTGAAAACATTGCCGTAGACATTCTCAATGTAGGATTGATGCCATGCTTTGAGACTAGAATTTTCTTATACTTTTTGGAGGTAGTGATACCTAGGTTCTCAAACTTTTATTTGTCACATATAAATTAGGGAGAATACCCAGGGTCAAAGCACAAAGTAAAATTGGGGTAATTGTCGGTTCGAAATTGATGCCAATAGGCCTGTCCGTAGTTCTCCGTATAAATTACCTTTTACTTTTTCCCGAACTTTGCTCCAGGTGTAAACATCTCATTAATTTTTACTTTTATGAGACCAGTTTGCCCTCCTCTTTCTAGTTACTTAAGAATAATCCCACGTCTCTCTCTCCATTGAAAGTTTTTGGGAACTTCAACTTGTTTGTTGAGGTTCTTTGCCTAAACCCTGTAAAGTTTAGCTTGCCCCATCCAAACTATTGATGAGAGGAGTAAAACCAACCAAGTAAAAAAAAACAATTGTTTTTAGAAAATCATCTTTGAAGGGCTCACTGTTTGAACTGATCTCCGCCATTACAATCGGATTTGGAGCCTTTGATTCCCGAGTTATGAGACGGGAATGCCGAGCAGTCTTCTCCGCCTCCCTACCCTTATCGTATACTGGTTCATCTTCAACTTCTCTCATTATGTGAACTCCTTACAATAATAGTGTAATGGTACTTTTTATGTTTTGATTATTCAATGGTGGAGAATAGGGGATACCAATGATAGCAAAAATAGATTTAGATATGGTGAAAAAAGAAATATATGGCAAAATTGGATTTTCAAAATATTATAATAATCACGTGATATGACATGTGAATAGAATGTGATGGAGAACTAATTAACGAGGGGTGATCTGACCTTCCAATCATATAGCACCACATAGTAAGTCCTAACCATTTAATAACACCTTGGTGCCATGTAGAGGCAGGTCGCACTTGGTTAGATTGGCCCAAACTGACCAGCCTGACATGCATCTTGACCGATGTAAGACCAATGGGTTGCTCCACAGCATAATGAAGCACATCACCTTGGGAGAGCAAAGCCAATGACTTTGGATGCCAGCTTGACCTTTCTGACCCCTCTACGTGGCGGGATGTCATTATCCGGTTAATGCACCTATCAGTTCTGAAACAGACAGTGACACATCATTCACTTGGCAGGGATGATCCTACTTCCACACACTTCGAAGGGATTGGATGAGGATCATCACCAACACCGGTAGAACATGCCCCAAAGATAATGGGCCGATAAGGCCTATTGCTCCCGGATATCTCAGACACAGTTCTTGGACCCCGAGGCCTATAAAAAGGCACCTCCACGCCTTCATGATGTATGCACGATTTAATGTGTACAAGCTCTCTAACTCTCTAAATCTCCCTTTGCTTTCTTGCTCGTTAAGCTCAACTAACATAAGCATCAAAGTGTCTAGCCCAAATCTAAACCCTCGGGTACTATGATCTATTGGTTCTTGTAGATCAGTCCACCGACCTCAACATTTGTTCATCTAAACTATCCTCCAATATGGAAGTTGGGCGATTCAACCTCTATCAATAACAATGAGAGATATTTGTCCTATTCCCCAAAAAACTTAGATTGTTTTAAGTCATTGTTTTCAAAAAACTTAGAGGTAGTTTAATTTTTTAATCCTATGTTAAATGAATTAGACGTGCCACAAAGAGACTATAGTTCCATAAGACTGAACCTGATGCATGGCAACGGGATTCCTTACAAGTAAAAAACCCTACACACACTCCACAAGCATGCGGATCCACATTTGCAAACTAGATGAAAGTGAAGCCTAGTCTTTTTCTTTTCTCTTGCACAGTACACACACTTGCTATACACTGTTTGATGACGAGGTGCATGATTTCATGTAGCAATCTAGCAGGACCAGTACCTTCCCAGTTTCCCTGCTAATTTCAGTCTTTACTTTCTTATTTGAAATTTCCGAAGTCCAAACCCCTAATTTCAATCATTGTTCTCACTTCTCCCATTAGATAGACTATTTCCCAATGTTTTAAAAACCGATCCAGAGGTTGAATCATTTTTGCCTACGGGTCACAGGTTACCGGTTCGACCGGCTGGGTTAAATAGTTCAGACCATTCTATATCATATATATATATATGTGTGTGTGTATGTATAAATATATTTTATTAATAAATAATGTTATAAAAATGTTTTACATATGTTATATGTATTTTTATATTTAATTTATATTTTAATTCTATTTTTAATTTTTTTTTATAAAAAATATTAAAATTTGCAATTTGAGGCCAAAGAAGGGATTTTTTGCGAAAATAGCGGGGCAAGGCACCTACGGCTTCTTGGTACATATAGATTTCGAAAATTTACCCAAAATAAAAAGAAATACCCCAATCGGATATCGGAGTACAAAGTTATAGCTTTCGAAAGTTTGCATATATACATTAAGTGTGCAACCCACGACCCTGTGATCAGGTTGAATGGGTCAACAGTTGAACCGACTGGGTCAAGTGGTTCTTGACCAAGTCAATGGTTTTTGACCTCTAATGGGTCTTGACTAAACCAGATCTGAAATCTTGGTCAAATGACAGTTCGAACGGTTCAACAGGCCGAATCAACGGCAGGTTGAAAGCAATGCTATTTCCTAGTGTTTCTCCCCTTTAAAACATTTTTCATATAGGACATAAGTATTACTTTCATTCTTACTAAATGCAATTGCTCTAATGTCATTATTATTTTTTACTTGTAGGACCATGATGAGGGCAGATTTGGCCCTCCAGTGAAATTGCGACACGTGGCACCTCGTGACAACTAGGCAAGCACCCAAGCAACAACTTACCAAGTTGGTGTCCCCCCCGGGCATTGGTCTGGCTGGCCTGGCGTGACCTGCACGCGGCCTGGGTTCGCCACCAGGCAGTTCGCCCCCAGGCAATTCGCCACCAGGGAGCACCACCAGGTAGTTCGTCACCAAGTAGTTCACCCCCAGGGAGTTCGCCACCAAGTAGCTCATCACCAAGGCACGTCACCACCAGGTCAAACAACGAGGTACTTAGCCAAAAAATTTATACATCACAAAAAATGGTACGTGACCAAAAACGGTT